GGAACAGGATGGGGAATGGCTCCCAGCTCTGGGAATTCCTGCTTGGGAAAACAGCCCAACGGGGAGGGAATGGGATAGAAGAGGAAAAGAGGAATATGGGATGATGCCAGCTGCTCCTTCCAGCCCATCCCATCCCGCTGGAAAATCCCAAAGCCAGGATCTCTGATTTCCTCCAAAGTGGGAAAGGAGCCAGAGCTGCCCGGAGGCAGCCAGGGCAGGTTTCTTCTTGGAATGCCAGGATATCCCAAATTTGGGAATGGAGCCAAGGAGGCTCCATGGACCCATGGAGAAGGAGAGGCCAGGATGGCCCTGGGAGAGAAGGAGGATCCCAAAATCCAGCAGGACATGGAGACAGGACAGAGCTGGGATGAGCCCAGCTGGGATCAGGGCTGGGATTTGGGATCTCCTTGGAGCCATCATCTCACACGTCAGCACCCTATCCCATCTGGGTGTCCATAGGAAAACCTGGATGTTTTCCAGGATTCCCCACCTATTCCATGTCCTGGATCCCTGCTGTCCCTCCACAGCCATTCCTGCACATCCAGCCCCGACCTGGTGGCCCAAACCAGGTCTGAAGTGGCCACCCCAGGCTGGGCTCTGGTGTTCCCCCAGCAGGAGGTGCAGCCGCCTCTTCCTGGAGCTCCAAGTGCCGGAGCAGCTGCTGTGGGATCGGGAATGTTGGATCCTTCCCGGCCGGCAGCCAGGGCTTTGCTGGGAGCGTGGATCCCACTGGAATCCCTCTGATCGCCTGGGATCCCACTGGAATCTCTCTGATCCCCTTGGATTCCTCTGGGATCCCTCTGATCCTGCTGGGCATTCCTCTGATCCCACCTGGATTCCTCAGGGATCCCGCTGGGCACACCACTGATCCCACTGGGAATCTCTCTGGGATCCCTTTGATTGCACAGGGATCCCTCTGATTCCACTGGGATCCCTCTGAACCCACTGGGCACCCCTCTGGGATCCCTCTGAACCCACTGGGAATCCCTCCGGTCCCACTGGGCACCCCTCTGGGATCCCTTTGATCCCACAGGGATCTCTCTGATCCCACTGGGAATCCCTCAGATCCCGCCTGGATCTTGCCCGGGCACACAGACGGGGCTGGCAGCTCCCAGGGAAACCCGCTTCCATACCCATATCCCGAGTTCCCTGCTCCTGCTCTGGAGAATTCCAGGTGTTCCCTGGGCACCTGGCTGGAAAATGGTTGGGAAGGGTCCGGGCAGGATCTGGGAAAGATCCAGGCAGGGTTTGGGGCAGGATTTGGTGAGAATTCAGGAAAGGTCCAGGCAGGTTTTGGTCAGGATCTGGAAAAGATCCATGCAAGGTTTGGAGCAGGACCCAGAGAAGATCCAGGCAGGATTCTGGAAAGATCCAGGCAGGGTTTGGGGCAGGATTTGGTCAGGATTTGGAAAAGATCCAGGCAGGATCTAGGAAAGATCCAGGCAGGGTTTGGTCAGGATTCAGGAAAGATCCAGGCAGGGGTTGGGGCAGGATTTGGTCAGGATTTGGGAAAGATCCAGGCAGGGGTTGGGGCAGGACCCAGAGAAGATCCAAGCCGGATCCGGGAAGGCCCAGGCAGGATGGGCTCCGGTGCCACCAAGCTGTGCAGGGCTGGCCCAGGCTGTCCCAACACAGGTGGCCCTCACCAGGTGGCACACAGGGACAGAGCCCACATCCCTTCACAGGCAGCCCCACACTGCCCTGAGTGGCAGGAATACTGGGAAAACCCTATCCAGCCGCTTCCATAAATCCCAGGATAACCCCATTCAGCTGCCCTCCTAAATCCCAAGATAACCCCATCCAGCTGCTCCCATACATCCCAGGATAACCCCATTCAGTTGGGATAGCCCCATCGAGCTGCACCCCTAAATACTTGGATGACCCCATCCAGCTACATCCATAAATCCCAGGATAACCCCATCCAGCTGCCCCCTAAATCCCGGGATAACCCCATCCAGCTGCACCCCTTAATCCCTGGCTGACCCCATCCCGCTGCTCCCCTGGGTCCCGGGCTGGATTTTAATAAGAGGATTTTCCCCAGGGATTGGTGACATTCCCAAGGCTGCCAGAGCTCCGGCCGGGATTTCAGGCTGTCCGTGCAGGGGCCGGGAGTTGGATTCTGATGGATTCTGATCCTCCCAGGTCCTTCCAGCTCCCGATTTCCGTAATCCCGGGATTCTGCCCCAAAACGGGGAGGAGGGACCCGCCCAACCGTGGATTTGCTGCCACCTAGAGCGGACAGTGGGGCTGGAACCTCGGGAAGTTCAGGGAATTCCAAGCCCGGCACCCGGGCAGGAAAAACCTCCCAGCGCCCGGAATTGTCGGGATGGAAAGCGCCTCTTCCCAAAAGGATTTGGGAATTCTGGCCGCCACCAAACTCCCAGCACAAGGGATGCTGTGCTCGTTCCAGGCTTCCCCGGGCAAGGGAAAACCTGGAAATGCGGGAGGGAATTCACTGAAAATTATTCTCAGCACCGCCCAGGGATGGCAGAAGTTAAAATAAAACACCCCAAAACTTAAAAAACTAAAAAATCCACCCCAAAACACCACCAGGAAGATGAGAAATCAGTACAGGCACGCAGAGAAATTGTGGGATATTCAAAATCCTCGGGAATATCCAAAATCCTGCTCGTGCAGGATTTATGGGGGAAGCTGGATGGGGTTATCCCAGGATTTAGGAGACAGATGGATGGGGCTATCCCAGGATTTAAGGGTGTGGATAGATGAGGTTATCCCAGGATTTAGGGTGAAGCTGGATGGGGTTATCCCAGGGTTTAGGAGTGCCGATGGATGGGGTTATCCCAGGATTTAGGGGTGCAGTTGGATGGGTTTAGCCCGGGATTTATGGGTGCAGCTGAATGGGGTTATCCCAGGATTTAGAGGGCAGCTGGATAGGTTTATCCCAGGATTTAAGGATACAGATGGATGGTGTTACCCCAGCTGGATAGGGTTATCCCGGGATTTAGGAGAGCAGCAGGATGGGGTTATCCTGGGATTTAGCGGGTAGCTGGATGGGGTTATTCCAGGTGGGGGTGCAGTTGGATGGGGTTATCCCGGGATTTGGGGGTGCAGTTGGATGGGGTTATCCCAGGATTTAGGGGGCAGCTGGATAGGTTTATCCCAGGATTTGATTTAGGAGTGCAGTTGGATGGGGTTATGTCAGGATTTAGGGGTGCAGATTAATGGGGTTATGTCAGGATTTAGGGGTGCAGATAAATGGGGTTATTTCAGGATTTAGGGGGCAGCTGGTTGGGGTTATCTCAGGATTTAGGGCTCCGAGCTGTCCTGGGATCGGCCCGGATGAGCTCCAGCCTGAAGCCCCGGTGATCCCGGGCCAATTCCCGCCGCTCCCAGAGCGTCCCCGCATCCTCCCGAGGCGCAGATGGAGCGGAGCAGACGCCGCCCATGGGAAGCGGTGTTGGGAACGCGCCCGGGGACGGCTCCAGCTGGCGGCGCGGGGACATCCCGGAGCCATCTGTCACATCTGTCACATCTGTCACCTCAGCCTGCCCGGAACCGCACCCAGTCCCGGAGCTTCCCGTGGAGAGCGGTCCCGGCCCCGGGGGAGGCACGGATGGAGCTGGGATCGGAGCTGGGATCGGGGAGCGGCCCCAAAGGGACTCAAATCTTTGGGATCGGGAAGCAGAGTGACAATGGAGCTGCCCCTGAGGGGACACAAATCTTTGGGATCGGGAAGCAGAGTGACAATGGAGCTGCCTCAATGGGACACAAATTTTTGGGATCGGGGAGCAGAGTGACAATGGAGCTGCCTCAATGGGACACAAATTTTTGGGATCGGGGAGCAGAGTGACAATGGAGCTGCCCCTGAGGGGACCCAAATCTTTGGGACTGGGGAGCAGCGGTGACAATGGAGCTGCCCCTGAGGGCACACAAATCTTTGGTGTGGGAGGGTGTTGGCAAGGATGGATAAATATGATTGTCTAGCAGAAGAACCACAATAGTACAGCCAGGATGAATATCATGCCCCCTACTTGCTGGACAATGCCCTTACCTACAGAGGGGTCCGAAAGTCAAATGGGCTGTTCCATCTCACCCCCCAGAATATATGGTTCACCCCACACCTGTAACCCTCCCCTGAAACATCAAGTGTCTGTAACCCCATTGGCCCAAGTCTTGTTCCAGCCCACCTTGAAACCCCCCTGATAAGGGGTTTCCAGGGGGCCAGACGCCCTCTTGGAACTTCCTCCTTCCTCCTGGATTCCCCCCTCCTGGAGTCTCTGCTCTTCCCTTTGTCTCTCCCCTCCCCCATCACCTCAGGCTCTGCCATGTTCTGTGTCTAGCAGCTCGAGGCAGGACCTCTCTCCATCCCAAATAAACCTTATTCTCCAAGAGCAATCAGCAGTGATCTCTCGTCTGTATCCACCCAAACCGTCCTGGAGCCCTCTAAAGTCTCTACAGGAGGAGGTGTGGAAGATGGCCCCCCTGCATTGCCTTGGGAGGCAACCGATGTATAACTTCCCGCCTCCCCTGCTGTCAATCTTTTGTTGTCCCTTCCCCTCATCCCTGTCCATCATTGTGTAATCCTTCCCCAGTTCTAGAAAGTTCTGTGTTCTTTGTATCCCCATTGGTTCCTTCCCTGAAACCACTCCTTCCCCTTGTCCCCATTGGTTGTTACCCTGTCACTCACCCTCTACTCCGCCTCTGAACCCTTTCCTCATTGGTTGTGTCCTACCCTGACCCTCCTACTCAGCCACTGTTATATTCCCTACCCCGCCCCTCGCTTGGGGCTGTCAGAGCTGGCTACCCTCCTGAGTGGTTGTGTTCCCTGGCTCCCCTCTTCGCCTTCGCTCGTCCTAACCCTCGAGAATAAAGCCGCTTGAGAGACACCTGCTTTAGGTGGAAGCCTCTTCTTTATCTGCTATCCGGCTCTTGGAGGACCTGACCCTGTGGCGAGCCAGAGTGGTCACAGGACCCCAGGGCCTCAACTGGCACCCGAACAGGCTGACCCCTCCCAGGAGTCAGCCTCAGAGCATCTCCGCTCCTGCTTCGACTCTGTGATTCGTCGGTGAGAGGATCCTAAGCACCGTTTGGCGTCGGCTCTGCGAGCAGCTGATCTTCCTTGAAGGAGACCTTCTGCATTGTGGGCTGCAGACACCCTGTGGAGTAGGACCATCAGCTTCGGGGAAGCTCCCTCACCCACAGGACCCGCAGCGCTTCCACCGCCCCATCGAGGTCCTTTCTTTTCAATGGTGGTCCTCTTTTTGGTGAGTTTATTCATACCCTGTCTGCCACCTGACCCCATCTCTTTCCTTTTCTTTTTCCCTTTACCTCCTTGGGGACACATTTCTTTTTGCTGTGAGAATGGGCAACAGGCTCTCTCCAGCTAGGCGGGATTTTTATTGCCATGTTAAGTCATCCCTCGTTTTGGGGAACATTTCATTTAAAAAAGGGGAGTTATAAGCTTTAATTAACCTTATTTTCAATCACTTTCCTGACACTTCTCAGGATGATTTTAATTCAGTTCAGTTTTGGGGAAAAGTTGGGCATCTTTTATACGACTTACAATTTAAGGGGAATTTTAGGGTGGGACTTTTTTTCCGCTTTTTCATTCAATTTTTACTTTATTTAAACAAAAAGGGGAGAGTTGGGTCCCCGGTTCCCCTATCCCTAGTTCCGCCCCCCCCATTCCTAACCCTGTTTCCCCTAAGGGTGGGTTGGGCAGCAGACCCTGCCACGATTCGGCACAGGGCTGCCACTGTCTCCCTGCTGCCCCCGGTCCCACTCTGTCCTCTCCTCGCTCTGGGGCTGGCCACCCCAGTGCGAGCCTTTCCTCACCCCAAAACCCTCAGACACCTGTCCCCGGTTTAAAATCCTGTTGTTCTATTCCAAAGCTGTGCCACCACGGCACACAAAATGGCGCCGACCGCATGGCCGAGCAGCCCAGGAAAGACCAACAAAATGGCGCCTCTTCACCTCCCTGCCCCCTCTTGGTTCCCGCCACTTCCCCTCTAACCCCTTCTCTGTCGAGTGCTGCCCCTGTGTCGGGTCCTGCCCCCACAAACGCGTCTATGGTGTCAGCGTCGGGACTCGCCCCCTCTGTCCCCATGGCCACACCCCTGGGTGGGCCCCCGGTGGGAGGGACCGGCCTACAGGAAGTCCGTGCCCCTGTGGGTGGGAACCCCCTGCCGGAAGGCCCCGCCTCCCCCTCTCCAGCTGCTGCCGGTTCCCACGCCAATGGAACTGGAAGTCGGCCTGGCTGGAAGCAGGCCTGGCTGGAAGCAGGCCATCTTGGCCTGCCGGGCTTCACGCCACCGGAGCCCACCGGCTATCTCAACTACAAAAAGCCATAAAACTTAATAATAAATGTAATAGCTATAATATAGATATAATATTTAAAATAATAATCTTAAAATAATGCCGATAATATATTGTAGAACAAAGGGATCCACTTTATTTACCGTAAGGTGTTTTTTCTTATAATTCTGGTTTTTAATGTTGGTTTAATAATATTCCATTGTTCCTCAGCTGCTCCTCTTTCACTGAGAATGACTGACAGCAAACCAATGCTTGTCAGGAAGCATGAAACAGAAAACACAAGATGTTACACAGAGGAGAGCAGATGTTTGGACAATCCCCGTCCAGGTGCTCAGTGCATCAGTGCTTCCCTTCCACGAATCACACAGTGCTGGAACTCATGAGCCAAGCAAGCAAACAAGCATCCTGCATGGATCTGACATGTGGCCATTGAAGCAGTGGGGTAGAGACAACTGGGCATTAAAAACAAAACACAAACTTAATAATTTTGTGACAGGAACTGTGCAATAGCAGGTCATTGTCCTTGGTAGAACAGAAGGTCTCTTCAATTCTGTGTTGTTAGTTGCTAAGCTGCCTCATGACAGGTAAATATGACTTCTTACCTAATTTTCTTAAATCTAATTTTACTATCAATTACTATCTTCCTTTCTCTCCTCCAATTCATATATTAAAATAAAGTCAGAAAAAATAATCAGGATTAATCATTCCCAGGATGAGAAAAGCAAATGTGATGAGATCTTGCTCTCCTTTTCATTTACTTACTCTCACATTTTGTTTATTATTTACTTCATGATGTTTTATACTGTTGTGGTGGTGTTTATACAAGCCATATCATTAAGAGATATAAAAGTTCTAGTTCATTTAAAGATAATGATATTTTGTGTAAATAAAATGTGTCATCCAATATTGTATTTTTTTCTGTTTTATCGAAGACCTTCTGGAATGGACTGAAAAATACTTTTCATCAAAATAAAGAGTAAGAGAATTGTTAGCAGTTAAGAGAAGTTACTGAATTTGATTTATCATAGACTATGCCTGTCAACCAGAAAATACAAGGGAAAGGTAAAGAAAACTGCAGAGGTAAAGAACTGACAGCAGTACAGTAATTTTTATTTTAAAAGTCCTACTTTCTAGGCAAGGAAAAAGAGGCTGCATAGAAAATGAGAGCAGGATTTTCAGTTTAGAGTTAGAATTTAAAAAAATAAGGTCAAAGATAGTAACAGCAGCAGATAGTCACATGACACCTCCTCCAGAGCTTTGTATGCCAGAGACTGTTGATGCTGCTTATTACTGCAATTGTTCAAAGTGTCTGTCAAGTCTCCCATGCTTCATATAAGCTATTTGCATAAAAATATACCCATTAGCATTTTAACGCCTCAGCAATAAAAAGTTTTAGTTTTGAAAACTCTGGTCTTATTTTATATTTAACATTCAGTAGTTTCATTAATCTTGGTTAGTGTGACACTGTCTTCTGTGTCCAAGGTTACCAGAGTTGACAGTGATATATTCAGTCAGGTTAGGTGTACCTAATGAACTACACAAGTCTGTTTTATTACCTGTCTCTCTAAAAATTACTTTTGGGGACAGTCTGAAGTTCGTATTAGCTTTTGTATTCAACAGTCTCTTTAATGTCAGCTATATGTGTACAATTACCAGTTAAAGAACAAGCAGCCTTGAAAGTGAAAACACAGTTGCAGGACTGAAGCTGAGTCTGTTTAGCTGTTGCATTTGCAGCAAGAGCACACAGGAAAACCTTGCAGTAGATATTGGTCCTCTCAAGCACACATAATCAAATTACCATTTTCTTTTCTGATATTCATGGGATCAGCTATAAAAGACCACATACTGTTTGGTTGTAAGTTTAGACAACCTCTTACTGATTAATTTGATTACAAACAAGAGGGAAAACAGTTCCAGAGCAAGACAAAAGCAATACATCGCTTAATGCTGCTGCTGCTACCATTAAATTAGTTTTGGTAAAACTCCTGTTGGTGGAAATTGAGTGAATTGTCCAAAGACAGTAGAAATTCAGGTTGTCCAGGACTACAGAAAAAAAGCCTGGGACAGAGCTAGGAATCAAACTGAACACGTTTCTGCCTCAGTGACAAAATTATGTCTTCTATTTGAATCTGTTGATAGATTTGGAATTTAATCACGGGCTCAGCTGCTCAGTGAATTTTGTTAGAAAAGCAGTGTGTTGGGCTGACCCCAGCTAGCAGCAGAGCAAAGCAGAGCTACTTCATCATTCCCTGTGGAACGTGGGAGTGCAGAGGAAGAGAGAAAGAAGCGAACTTGTGGGTCAAGATTAAACAGCTTAACAAGTGAGCATGGAATATACCTTCGGGCAGTTCAGGTCTACAGCTGTGGCTGCATTTCCTCCCAGTCTCCTCCCAGTCTCTTTCCCCCTCCCAGCAGAGAGGCAGAGTGCTGTACAAGCACTGGATTTGGTGCTGTACAAGCACTGCTCAGCAGTAGCCAAAACACTTGTATGTGATCAGCAGTTCAGTCACAAATCAAGAACACGAGCCAGTATCACCTGCTGTGACATTCCAGCCAGACCCAGTACAAAAGTTTAAGATTTTTTTCAATATGCTTTTATTTTGCATCAGCATCAATGGTCTCAGTATGGTAATTTTTTAATTTTTATTTTAAGGCAGAAGTCCTCTAACCTCTTGTTAGAATAGTCAACAGTTCTGTAGGCAGAGCAGCCCTGTGGGATATGGGAGACAGATAGATTCCCATTTCATCCTGTGGACACTCATCTTCGGCCCAACCAGACGTCTATTCTGTAGATAGGAAGCCTAGTAAAAAAAGCCTTGTTGAAATGAATGAAATGAATATGTTTCAATAAAAATAATTTTTTTTACCAAAACAAGATTAATAATTATTTCAAAAAGTTTTGCTTCAGTACTGTTCTTTATCTTGGTCTCTTATCTACCCATAAGTCTTGATTCTACGTTATTTCTACTCCTGTGTTGCAGATGTGAAACACATAAAATTTTCTCTTATAAAACAGATACTAAGTAATCTTAATCTATTTACTGCTATTTGACTGATGGTACCAGTTGTTCCCAGTACTCAATCTATATGGGTATGCCATGACAGTATTGAAATAAATAGAAGTTCTACTGTGCATTCTGGGAATGCATTTGGGGACTACCAAAGCAAATAGTGTGTGTAGTTAAAGAGTTTAAATTAATCTGTAATGTGTTTTAAGTTATGGGGTTTTACCAGTCTCTGCTTCATTTAGAAACTCCATTTCCATTTCTGTATGTGCTGATAAAAATATGAATGTTTTAACATTTAATTTAAGTTAATTTCATACTGCTAGATCTCTGGGAAAAAAAAAAAAAGACAGGATGTTAAGTATCATTCCCTAAATGCATGTTGAAATAATAAAAAGAGAAAAAAAAATCCATATTTTGAAAAGTGGAGGCACCGAGTTTTAATCAAAAGATAGCAAGAAATTAGCACAGTGGTCTTTGAGGGATTTGAGTACTTAATTCTGATAGATGAGCTGCTCATTTAGTACAAATATACTACAAAGAAAAAGGAGAACTATGTTAGACATGTTTTTTTCTGTGAAAAACTTTTCTTATTAAGACCAGCTTATTGTGAAAACACAGTAAAATTATAAACTGCACTTATATATTTCACAAACATAATTAATTTTCACTAAATGAGTACAGCCTTTTAAATAGTTTTCCCTCAGTGGCAAAATACAGATACCTTACTGAGCTGAATTTTGCCCAAACTTTAGGCTTGGGCTAAAATTCATCTATCATCAATGAAAAATTACAGCCATGGACCAAAATTTTTGCAACAAAAATCTCAACCTGACTCTCCTACTCAGTTAAGGTTGTTTGCTTGCTTGTTTACTTGTTTGTGTTTTGTTGCTCCCCCTCTCTCTGCTCACCCCTTATAATTTCTGGTAATCTTTCCCAAGGGTGGAACTGTAATAGTAACTGCCTGGAGACAGACATGAAGAAGACATGGCCCTGCTTTCCATTTTCTCTATTTTGCTTCATCTTCCAGATTTCTTAGGGGCCCATTTTTAACAGTCATGGTCAGGTTTCCCTTTATTTGATTTTCTCTCTCCTCCTGTGCTATGAAAAGGGAAATGAAATTGTTAACTCTGAAGGAGGTGAACAAACTGAGCACATCTTCAGCAGGGGGCTTTTACCATTGCACAGTGTGAGATTAAGAGGGTGCACAAGTCCATCCAGATCCTGCTCTGTGCACCCAAACAGGCCTGCTGAAGTAGGCAGGCTGAATTTTGGGCAACTAATATTTACAGTTGCATAATAATACATATCCAATATGAAATTCTAAAATAGCTGCTTGGTTGGATCTCTTGTATTACAATACATATTACAGACAAATACGAGTCTGCAAAGGTGCTGATTTCCAGACAATATTCTGCAACAAGCAGTTCAAACAGAAGAAATATACACAAATAATATAAAGGTAGTTAAACCAGTTTATTCTTCCATAAATATGCCTGTATTTTGCAGAGTAAAACTGACTCATGTCCAATTTGTTTTGGTACATTAATGCTTTTTAGACAGAACCCTCTTTTTGTATTATGGACCACTTGTAAAAAACATTATAATATATAAAATTAGTCCTTTCAGTCAATATATTACTATTTATTACTATAGTAATAAATGAATGAATGAAATGGTTTGATTCATGAAGTCCACAAATAAGAGGGAGTTTGCTGCGTGTGTCCTTGGACTGTAACTGAAGTTGCAGAGTTGACTTACTGCTAGCGATGTCTCCAGGATAATGTAGACAGTAGCAATATCAGTAGGCCTTTGGCAGAGAAAGATTATAATGTTCTAAGACTAAATTATGAAAGTTAACTATTTAGAAAGCCATGGGAATCTCTAGGGTGGGACATAATTAAATCCTGACTTGTTCTCAGAGGAAGAGTTGCTGGCAAAGTATAAATCTAGGGCATTAAGCTTTAAACAACTTTTCAGTTTTAGAAAGTTTATTTTATCAAAAAAGATCCCATGCTTGCATGAAATAGAGAAATTTTGACACTGACATTGAAAATTAATGTTCTGGGGCCTATTTAATCCGTTGGATTGGATTGGAGTGGCAAGATCTTAGTAGCAGAGGGGCTACAGAAGTATCTCCTGTGAGCAGATTCCAGAAGGTTCCCCCATGTCTCATGAAGCCAATGCCCTCTGGTTCCAAGACACATCTGGTGCTGGCCAAGGCCAAGCCCACCAGTGATGGTGGTGGTGGTGGCTCTGGGATAACAGGTTTAAGGGGTGGGGGGTGTGAAACAGCTGCACAACAGCTGGAAAGAGGAGAGTGAATGTGTGAAAGAGCCCTGCAGTGCAAAAGGAGTTGGAGGTGGTGCTCCAGGCAATGGAGCTGGGATTCCCCTGGAGCCCCTGGCGCCCATGGGGAGGCAGCTGTGCCCCTGCAGCCCCTGGAGGTGACTGATGCCAAGGAAGGCTGATGACAACTTCATCAGCTGTGATCCTGTGGGAAGCCCACACTGGAGCAAGCTCACAGGGAGAGGAGCCCAGGCTGGAGCAGGTTTGGTGTCAGGACTTGGGGGTGATCTGCACTGGAGCACAGCAGGAAGGACTGTGTCCCAGGGGTGGCACCCCACACTGGAGCAGGGCAAGAGTGTGAGGAGTCCCCCCTCTGAGGAGGAAGGAGTGACAGGGACAGTGTGTGATGAATTGACATTACAGCCCCCATTCCCCATCCCCCTGTGCTGCTGGTTGGGAGGAATTAGAGAAATAGGGAGCAAAACTGAATGTGGGAAGAAGGGAAGGGTGGGAAGGTGTTTTAAGATTTTATTTCTTCTGATCCTACTAGGGTTCAGTTGACAATAAATTAAACTAATTTCCGCAAGTTGAGTCTGTTTTGTCTGGGATCTGATCAAACAGCTGAGTAACCTCTCCCTGTAACTGCTGTGGGATATCTCCCTGTCTTTATGTCAACCCAGGAGCCTTGATTACATTTTCT